TGGGAAACACCCATACACACTCATTTACACACACTATGGACAATTTAGCTTACCTAATTCACCTATAACACATGTCTGTGGACTGGGGGAAACCGGAGCAGCCAGAGGAAACCCACACCAACACGGGGAGAAAATGCAAACTCCACACAGAAATGACTCAGCCGGGACCTTCTTGGTGTAAGGTGATAGTGCTAACTACTTAGTTACTGTCACCTAGAACTTAAACAAACATAAAATAACATGGTCATCATAGTAAATATTAAAATTGTGCAGCTCTATTAATAGTATTTACTTTTAAATACTGTGGAAGTCAATGGTTACAGGTTTCCAACATTCTACAAAATGTCTTCTTTTTTGTTCCACAGAAGAAAGAAACTCATAAAGATTTGAAACCTCTTGGGGGAGAGCAAGTAGTGAGTAAACCTTTTTTTTGGTTGTTGGTTGAACTATCCCTTTTATTCAAAATTGAATTGAAACCTTGTTTTTTTATTTCAAGAAACGAGACTCTGCTCTTGTGGGAATGAATCAGATTAGGAAAAGAGGAGGTGAACAGACAGTCTGATATACTGCAGAGACGCTCACACTGTTTAGAGTCAACAGTGCAAAGTTGAGCTTATCTCATCATGAGAGAGAAAACAACGAGACACACACAGATTCCAGAGAGCTGACGTGTCTTAAAAGCAGGCAGAGAGAAACATGCTGTTTAACAGTCAACCAGTAATTAATGAGCATTTCAAAACCAGAGAGGAATCAGTGTTCGCCATGAGGTAACCTACATATTCTGAGGGTCTAATAAAAGGGGATAAATCCAGTGCTGAGGCTGAGCTGGTGTGTGTCAGTACAAATGTTTTAATGCTTTTTATCAGATCAGGCCACTTAAGGCTAGGATCCGGTCGATGGTCCACTCTGGTGAATAGGTAATGTCATTAACTCAGGCTGTGATTGGCAGATGCAGCCAGAGTGAGGCATCATGGGATTGATTCACCGCCCCTGGCTCTACTATGATGTTGGGTTTTATAAAATCACTTATTGGTTTATTAAATATTGATATTGACTTTCCTAGAGTAGGTTGGGCCTATATTTTCATTATATACGTATAACATCAAAGATGTAGGTAAAGTCAGCCGTCAGATGGTTGAAGTATTTAGTTTAGCTGTTTTAAAGGGGTAGTTCACTCAAAAATGAAAGTTCTGTCATTGTTTGATCATTCTTCACTTGTGGCAAACCAGTTTGAATTTCTTTCTACTGTTGAACATAAAAGAAGATATTCTGAAGAATGTAACCACTGGCTCACATATTTGTTTTTCCTATACTTGATTTCCAGCGTTCTACGGTTTGGTTTTGTAAATATGTATTGTATAACAGATAGATACATTTGGTACACACCATTTACAATAATAATTAATAGATTATTTACAATGGTACCAATAAAGAAACAAACAAAAAACAAAACAACAGAAATCAAAACAATAATATAATAAAAACAATTTTTCCCAACACATTTCTAAACATAATAGCTTAGTAATTAATTTCTATTAACTGATTTATTTTATCTTTGCCATGATGACAGTACATAATATTTCACTAGTTATTTTTCAAGACACTACACCTAACAGTGAAAATCACTAAATGAAATAAGTTAGTTAAACTGATAATTAAAAAAAAAAAAAAAAGTTACTTTAACTCAATAAAAAAAGAGTTATGGTAACCCATAAACCAATTATATCAAGCAGAACTCTAATGGAATGAGTTATGAATGAATGAATTATACTTTTTTGTGTTAACTCTAATGCTAGAAGGAATACAAACCATTTGAGTATCTTTAGTTGTTCGGGCTTAATTTGTTTAAGTTAATTGAACTAAAAGGGATTTTATAACCAAACTAAAAATGCTTAAGTTAATAATACCTCCAAAAAAAAAAAAAAAAAAATTTAAACTAATAAAAACTCCAAAGGTTTGATGATATAAACACGTGTATGTGACACAAGATATAAGTTTACCTTACTCAAACCGTTTTGTTTCAAAACTTAAATAGTTTGCCACGCTCGGTTTCCTCAGACAGTTTGAGTTAACTTAGCAGGTTACACAGTGTAGTGTTCAGCTTAAAGTGACATTTAATGGCTTAACTAGGTTAATTAGGCAAGTTAGGGTAATTAGGCAAGTCATTGTATAATGATAGTTTGTTCTGTTCTAATTTAGCTAACAATATTGACCTTAAAAAATTTCAAAGTGCTTTTATTGTAGCCGAATTAAAACAAATAAGACTTTCTTCAGAACAAAAAATATTATCAGAAATACTGTAAAAAATCCCCTGCTCTGTTAAACACCAATTGAGAAATAAATATATTTTTTTTAAATCACACGGAGGGTGAATAATTTTGGCTGTACAGCAGAATCACATACAGCTTAAACCCTCCAGAGTGTGAAATGAGTTTATTCACTCTGTGAGCGAGTGGACGTGTAGAGCTGATCACAGCAGTCTAGAGCTCGTCTGCCTTATATTAATCCTGAAAGGTTACTCACCCTCTGTTCCTGCAGCCTCCAGCCAGAAACTGCTGACTTATGGACAAAAGCAGTAATTTAATTAGATGTGCCTTTGAGTGCTCTATGTGTCCACTTCAGCGAGTTAACAGCAATAAATTTCAACAATTGCTTGTAAATCAATTTAATCTGAACAACTGCACAACAAAACAGGAAAATGAAAATCGATTTATTATTCGCTCCAAAAATATTTAGGCCTTAATTTATGAATCATGGGTTTTGGTTACAGTACATACAGTTTGAGTCAGAATTATTAGCTTCCCTTTGATTTTTTTTCTTTTTTAAATATTTCCCAAATTATGCTTAACAGAGCAAGGAAATTTTCACAGTATGTCTGATAATATTTTTTCTTCTGGAGAAAGTTTTGTTTGATTTATTTTGGCAAGAATAAAAGCAGTTTTTAATTTTTTTAACAACATTTTAAGGTCAAAAGGTCAAAATTATTAGCCCCTTTAAGCTACTTTTTTCCGATACAGAACAAACCATCTTTATACAATAACTTTCCTAATTACCCTAACCTGCCTAGTTAACCTAATTAACCCAGTTACGTTGTTCATTATCTTATGTTATTATTATTATAGGTTATTAGAGAACACGTGTTTCAGTCTAACATCACGATAAACTTGTGTGCAATTCAACTTCCTGCCGTGGGCTTTTTTATGTCTGACGAGGAACAGACACTGTCAGCTCAGGTTATTATCATGCAGGCAGAATAGAGAAGCACTTTACTTTGTCAGTCTAATCCAGTCTCATTGTTTATTTTTATTTCTACAAAGCTCAAAGTCTTTATAGTGCTTAACATTGTAACATATTTACAGTCTTTTGCTTTTAAAAATCTTAAAGGGAATGTTTCAGATAGACATTCAGTTAAATATTATTACAGGATGCACTGATGAAGCACAAATAGTAAACATATTTTAACAAATTATTAGGCTTTCTGTCACTGTGAATATTTTCCAGGTGATGTTTGACAGCAGGTTTGACATTTTTCACAGTATTTCCTATTATATTTTATATATGTAATGTATTACATACTTACTTACTCCCAGGGCCATTTATATTGAGGTTGATGTTTAGCACCGCCATGTTGGTCTTTCGTAACATCTAATTTTTTAGATGTAGGACCAGGACATTTACACATGCACTACGGACAATTTAGGTTACCCAGTGCATCTGTAGCAACTGTCTTTAAACTTGTGGGGGAAACCAGAGCACCTGGAGGAAATGGGGAGAACATGCAAACTCCACACAGAAATGTCAACTGACCCAGCCGGGGCTTGAACGAGTGACCTTCTTGCTGTTAGGCAACAGCCCTACCCACTGCACCACTATGTTGCCCGATATATATATTCATTCATTCATTTTTTTCGTCAGCTTAGTCCCTTTATTAATCCGGGGTCGCCACAGCGGAATGAACCGCCAACTTATACAGCAGGTTTTACGCAGCGCATGCCCTTCCAGCCGCAACCCATCTCTGGGAAAAAAAAAAATATATATATATATATATATATATATATATATATATATATATAAAATACTAAATATATATTAAATATTATTATTAAATATTATTATGTGAGTCTTAATAATAAATATATTAAATATTATTATGTGAGTCTTAATAATAAATATATTAAATATTATTATGTGAGTCTTGATAATATATATATTAAATATTATTATGTGAGTCTTATTTCTTTCGTTTTAGATTTAAATTTTTTTTTTACTCTAAGTCTATTTATTTACTTTTAGTTTGGCTGGATATTATATTGCCTGGATATATCAATGCTTTAAAACATCATAACAAACTTTTTTATGAGTATATCAATCCGATTAAAACAACACATGCTCATTGGAAATACTTGCTTTGGTCTTGTGAAACGTAAACTTTAACATATATTTGACTGTATAGTTCCTAGTTAAAACTATGAGGCAGTATGACGTAAGCAACTTTTGTTCCTTTTTCCCACAAATGAGATGTAAAGGGTCAAAGGTTTTTTCGACGAAAAAGGAATTCAAGACTTCAAACTTAGATATTGTTTGATACTAGTTGCAGATGTCCGGGTAAAGAACCCTGAGCTTGGAGATAATTGAGCCCAGAGCTCCGCATGGTCATTTAGCATAAAAGGGGGTCCAAGATCAGGTCGGTTTTAATTTAGTTCAATTTAGTTAATTCAGTTCACCTATAGCTCATGTCTTTGGACTGTGGGCAAAACCGGAGCACCGGGAGTAAACCCACGCCAACACGGGAGAACATGTAAACTCCAATCAGCCAGGACTTGAACTAGCGACCTTCTTGCTGTGAGGCAACAGTGCTAGCCACTGTGTCGCCTGCAACGTATTTTACATGTCACAAAAATGTTGGCTAAGGTATTTCTAATGCCTAATTTTGATTAAGTAGTTGCTGAGTACAGTTCAATGAATGGCCACTAGTTTCACAAACATCAAAGCTTTCCAAATTCAACATACAGCCACTTCATGCATTTATTTTATAGAGCTTAACAAATTATTAACATCAGCATTTACATTTTTATTTGGATAGGCAGGAGCTACATGAATAATCAAGATTACGTAAAAGTGGATCTGTGCAACGGTACCTTATTTGAGTACATCTTGCATCACAAATGTAAAAAGTGTTAGATATATAAGTTACATCTACTCTGAATGCACGCACACATTGACGTTCTTATGTTTCTCCCAGTAGTGACACTCTTCTGGAAAGCTGGACAGAGTGAAGCTCTCCTTGTGTCGACTGATGGCGTGAATCAGAAACCCTGCTAACTGCTTCTCCAGCATCTCCACCACAGCTTTAGCGTCTCCTTTCCTGGCAGGACCCTCCATCATCTGTTTGATGCTCTCATTGGGCACCGGCTGAGGGTCACTGCAGTACGAGACCACCAGGTGTGTTTCGTTTCCTTGAGAAACTTCCAAATATTTCTGTCCGGACACGCACTGAAAGTTTTGTCCGGCTCTCAAGTTGCTAATTTTGCCCATGTTGCTGATGACTCTGATGGACCAGCAGACCCAGTCGAACTTCTTCGTCAGGAAGTCCAGCAGTTCTCTGGCTGTTTCCTGAAGGTTTGCTTCCTCCTTTTCCTTCAGGAGCCTCTTGATGTCTAGTTCAGCTTGCTCTGGGAATGATTGCACACATTTCTCAATGGTTTCCTTCATTTTGGTCTCGATCTCCTGGATCTTGGTGCTCCACTCTTGGATCTTCTCCTGCTCCGCTTCTTCTCCCTGAGTGAGGAAACAATATCCCAGCAGAGCGATTATTCCCAGACAGAGCAGCTCCTTCAGCCGCACACAGAAATCTTCCAGAACTCTTCTGTTTCTGGCCTCGTATTGCTCCACAACCTCCAGGATTGGCTCCCCGAATGTGCTGTTCCCCATCACAGCATCGTAAAGCAAACACAGATTCTTTTCACCACCTGTTATGAAAAAATGATCTAAGAACAAGCGTTTTTTTACCTCCTTATACTCCGGTTTGGCCTCCAGAATGTCAATGTATTTTCTAAACTGATTACGCATATTTTCCTCCACAGAGAAGAACTGAGTATCCAGGCGTCTCCTCCTTATTTCAGAGTCAATGTCCTGCAGTTGACATGAGAGGACGTCTAGTTTGCTTCTCACGACTAGAAACTGATCTTTGACATATGTGACCTCCTTGCTTTCAACGTTGTTGAGGACGAGTTTGAGGACGGGAGCTGCAGCTTCAAAAAGTGGACTCAGTCCTCCTACAGCGCTGGCCAACACCTCAGCTCCCTTCTCAAACATTTCCATCACTGCTTCAATCGCCTCCTTCTTCTGCGCAACAACCCGCTCTAGGGGACTGGACATTTCTGAAAAATCATAATCACAAAATACTTTTAAGACAAATTTGTATATGATTTAAGCCAGGGGTGCCCAATCCTGTTCCTGGAGATCTACCTTCCTGTTCAGCTCCAACCCTGACCAAAAACAACTAAACCAACTAAGGTGCACATGGTAATTAAAGACAAGTGTGTTTGATCCAAGGTTGCAGCTGAACTCTGTAGGAAGGTAGTTCTCCAGGAACAGGATTGGGTACAACTGATTTAAGCAATAGATCAGGGGTGGCCAAACTAGGTTCTGGAGCTCCGGTGTCCTACATATTCTAGTTCCATCCCCAATTAAAACACACCTGAACCAGCTAATCCAGCTCTGTCTAGGTATATTAGAAACTTCCAGGCAGGTGTGTTGAAGCTAAGTTGGAGCTAAACTATGCAGGACAACATCCCTCCAACGAGCTAGTTAGTGAACCTGTGCAATAGATATTTGCATAAGTGATGCTTTAATAACAAATTTCAGGAGGAGCATGTGCAGATGTTCTGACAACACTAATTTATAATTGACAATCATTCGTTCATTCATTTCATTTTCCTTTGGCTTAGTCTCTTATTTATCAGTGGAATTGACCGCCAACTATTCCGGCATGTATTTTACACAGCGGATGCCCTTGCAACTGCAACCCAGTACTAGGAATACTCTCATATTCACACACACACACACACACACACACACACACACACACACACACACACACACACACACACACACACACACACACACACACACACACACACACACACACACTCCGACAGTGATATATGGTCAATTTAGTTCATCCAATTAACCTATTAGCGGATGTCTTTGGACTGTGAGGGAAACCAGAGCACCCGAAAGAAACCCATGCCAACACGAGTAGAACAAGCAAACTCCACACAGATATGCCAACTGGCCCAGCAGGGACTCAAACCAGCAACCTTCTTGCGGTGAGTGCTAACCACTGAGTCATCCTGCCACCCATTGACAATCCTTCTATTATTCAATCAGCATAAGACCAAACCCCTTTAAATAATCAAGTATGTCCTACCTCTATTATCTCTCAATTTCAGCATCCTTCTACCACCTTAACTACACGCATTTAAACCTGTTTCCTACCTAAATGTGAGACGGCGCAGCATTCTGAGGCCAGGCTAGACACTGTGGTTGGACCTCTATATTTCTCTCTCTCTCTGTCCTTGCAAGTGGAATAACACTGTGTCTTTCTGAGCTCAGGGCCGTCTCCCTGTACATCTTGCCAAATATGGATATTCCTTATTCAGTAAAATTTCAGGGGAACTCGTGAAATGGATGTACACAGTATGGGATGTGTATATCAGAGCCCCTAGTTTTTCATGAATTCTTTTGGTAAATTTTTTTTTTCCGGGGGGATTAATATGACTCAGGGATTGCCAACCTTATCAATGTCATGGAAGAGTTTACTCTCGTTAACCACAGTGAAAGAGTTAAACAAAATTATTTATCAATTTGACGCACTTGATAATACCAGCCATACATGTAAAGCACAATTCGCAACTCCAACAAGTTTGTGACCCTTCAATTCGGTCATGTCCAGTGGTCGTCATCCTTGAACCAACCTCCATCATTGTAAGCAGTTGCTTTTCTGTCTGTTCCATTGCTCTGTTTGTTAGATGTTTGCTCCCACTTTTGTTTGCAGTCTAAAGTGTGTCAAATGGACAAAACGCTGATTTCGCAACACAGGATGTTTAATTCTTTCTTTGCATTGACTTCACATATGAATTCCTCACACTTCATCCATCTGTTTACTGAGGGTGCAGATTCATTTTTCAAGAGACACTCAAATACATCATGTTCTCTGTCATGGAAACATTAAAACAATTAATTGCAAACTGAAATTTTGTGTTGAATTCAGCAATTGCAAAATTGCGAAAAACTAGGGGGTCTGAGATGTATACAGTGTACAGTACACTGTAAAAATGCTGTAGAATGTACAGTATTACTGGCAATTTTGGTTGGCACTAATACTGTAAAATGTACAAGTACACTGTAAATTACAATTACAATTGTGCTGTACAACTACAGCATTGTAAACCAAAATTGCCAGCAATACTGTACATTTTACAGCAATGTTTTACAGTGTGTACAGTGCATCTGGAAAGTATTCAAAGCGCTTCGCTTGTTCCACATTTTTTATGTTACAGCCTTATTCCAAAAGGGATTAAATTCATTTATTTCCTCAATTCTACACACAATACCCCATAATGAAAATCTAAAAGAAGAGTTTTTAAAACTGTTACAAATTTATTAAAGATAAAAAAAACTGAAAAATCACATGTACAGACATATTCACAGCCTTTGCTCAATACTTTGTTGATGCACCTATGGCTGCAATTACTGCCTCAAATCTTTTTGAATATGATGCCACAAGCTTGGCACACCTGTCTTTGGGAATTTTTGCCCATTCCTCTTTGCAGTACCTCTCAAGCTCCATCAGGTTGAATGGTGGAGGCCACTCACTATGCTCATTGGAACTTTCAGAGCAGCACAAATTTTTCTGTAACCTTCCCCAGCCTTGTGCCTCGAGACAATCCTGTCTCAGACTTCTATAGACATTTCCTTTGTCTTCATGCTTGGTTTGTGCTTTGACATGCACTGTCAACCTTGGGACCTTATATAGACAGGTGTATGCCTTTTCAAATCTTGTCCAATCAACTGAATTTACCACAGGTGAACTCCAATTAAGCTGCTCAAACATCTCAAGAATGATCAGTGGAAACAGAATGTACCTGAGCTCAATTTAGAGCTTTATGGCAAAGGCTGTGAATACTTCTGTACAAGTGATTTTTTTATCAGCTTTTTTATTTTTAATAAATTTGCTACAATTTCAAAAAATCTTTTTTTACATTGTCATTAGGGGGTATTAAGAGTAGAAATTTGTGGAAATAAATTTATTTAATTCATTTTTAAAAAGTCTGTAATATAAAAAATGTGGAAAAAGGAAGCGCTATGAATACTTTCCGGATCCACTGTATGTATGTATGTATGTATGTATGTATATATATATATATATATATATATATATATATATATATATATATATATATATATATATATATATATATATATACACACACACACACACACACACACACACACCACACACACACACACACAAGGTTTCTTAATATAACCCACAATTTTTATATCTGAATTATGCATGGAAATTGTGATGTACAGTATTTATTTCATAGTCCATTGAATCAGATAAGCTATTCTTTCTTGGTTTCATGTTCACCTAAATTTTGTAAAAAAAAATGTTTATGGACAGCATAAATACAGGAACATCAGGGGTCAAGTAAAATGTTCTGTTTCTTACACAGATTAAATGATCAGACAGGCATCAGAGGACATTTAAAATGGCAAAATGGACTCATACCACATTAACTATTACATTTTTGTCATCAAATGAGGCATTGCGTGCATTTTGAGAGAATTATGTATCTGAATTATGTGTCTCACTGCAATAGAAGTGAAGTGTCCACATAATTACAATCATAATACAATGGCATACACAGAGGACCATTAAAAATAATGAGAAATGACATTTTGAGCAAATACATATTTAAACTGTACCCTGCACATATACACATCTCATACTGTATTTCACGATTATTAATAGGTATAAATCCTGAATAAACCATACACCCTTAATGGTATGTATTTTGATCAACCATGCATCAAACTGACAAATAAATGTTACAAATAATGCATAATTTATTTTTCAGGTTATATTTGTAGATACAGATATCAGGACACACCTTGCTTAACTCTCTCTAGCTCAGTCTGTAATGCAGTCTGCCTCATGTGTCCTAATTATGCGCATCCTTGACATCACATTAAGATCCTCATCTCTAGCAAAACATATTTTAAATGTATTTCTCACGTCTCTCAGGATGAGGAGCTCCTCCAAATTGCCAAATGATCCCTCCGGGTTCAGGTTCGACTTCAAAGCAAGATGCCGTGAATCGTGATCATTTGCCGAGTGTGGAAAAGATGTGCAAACGCGCGCGCGCGCGTGAGAGAGATAGACACGGAGAGAGTTGCGCGCACTGGTTTGGAGTGGTTTTGGAAAGCTGTTGGTAACTGACGGATCAATTTGCTTCATATTTGACTGCAGTGTTTTTTTATAGTTTGTTTACGGTCTGTGATGTTCGGCTCGGAGATCAATTTTTACACGAGGTGGTTTAATTGCAGATTATTTTTGCATCGTGCGCAATATCTCACGCGCTGCTGGATTAAAATGAGCGTGCGCAGATTTGGGATTTTGGATTTCAATGAAGGTATTTCACATAATATTTTATGGTATATATTACATTCTGCATTTTTATACTGTTTTATAGAGTCTATTTTCGTTATGTTTGACACAGAATGATATTCGAGTGTCTTGTCTTTAAATGGTGGACAACTTGTGCTCTTTTACATTTAATGAAAACGTTAATCATTTTTATTGTATTATATAACTTTAGAATATTGTAAAATATCTACCATTAAATTATTAGACTAGTTGTGATATTGTCCTTCATAAATATTTAAAGGTGTCAAAATAGCATAGTGAATCCTTTTTGACGTTTGCAGCATAATTGTCCTGAAAAATATACTGCTGGTCACAAAATATTGATTGTTACTGATTTGAAATATGTAAGTTTTGTTTGAAATATGAAATACTTATTAAAGAACAAGGCTGCAGCATAGTTTAATTTAAAGCCTTTTGTTTGCAGCCATTTAAAGGACGCCAGTTATTGGTATAAAAAAACATTTTATAAAATTGTTCACGAAATAATTTTTATTAGAAATTCTATAAAGACTGTCCACACGGAACCGCCTTAATTTTAATTATATTCAGGGACGTAATTCGAAGTGTTTTTATATTATTTTTGTTTAATAAAAAAAAAAAAAAAAAAAATATATATATATATATATAAATGAAAAATAAACAAGGGGGCTAATAATTCTATAACTTCAACTGTATATATATATATATATATATATATATATATATATATATATATATATATATATATATATATATATATATATATATATATAAATATGTGTGTGTGTGTGTGTCTGTGTGTGTGTGTATGCATGTATATATAACTTATTTAAGCTGTTTTGAACTTGGTGTTTAACAGAAAAAAATGCAAATATGCTATTGGAGTTTTGGCTTAATGTTTTAAAGTTATAATGTCACTCCTGCTTGATCATTGTAACTTGGAATATGCACTGACAATAAATGAATGTATTAATATTATGTGGCTTAGACATGATACATTCTCTTCAGCATTCTTCTACATTTTTATCTTTCTTCAGTCACAAATGAGGGCTCTCTGACAGGGTCAGGATTTGGTCGAAGAGTCACAGAGAAAAGTCACATTAGGTAAAGCAAAACTTTTAATTTCTTAAACTACGATTGATTTTCTTGTTTAGACTTGTTTTGGTTTACATGTTCTTTTTAGGTTTTGTTCACCTATAGCTTGTGCTACCTATATACCTATGGCTTGTTGGATAACTAGGCTGGCTAATTCAGTGATGCACATTTGATATCAGTCATAAGAGGCTAAGATGCCATTGCACTCTTAATAATAATGGTTCTTTATTGGTATTGATTGTTTCATTAAAAACCTTTAACATATTTTATCAAAAACAATTTGCACTTGTTCTTTAAAGGAAAATTAAGATCTTTTGCATCACTGCGAAATCCACCTTCACCCCCCTTTTTTATTCTTCCTGATACCTTTTTTACACTATGAAGGGAAATTTTCATCTGCTTGTTGTGTTTAGGACATCTAGTGTCAGGATAAGGAAAAAACATGTAGTAAAATAAAATTGTATCTACCCTAAATAAATTAAAAAAATCTATTACCTGTGCTTAAAATATTAAAATATTTTTTTTATATAGTGGAGCTTTACTACATCCATCTATGTTTCACTATGTCAAAATAATGACTTTAATTTTAAATTGTGCATCCAATGAAAGGCTTGGCACAATTACAGCGTCTATAAAATATAAATCATTATATTTTTATAATTAATAACATGAAATCTAATTTTTTTCTTTAACAATTTCTAATATTTTATGTCATTGCATTTAATTTTACTGTGCAATTGAAGTAGACTTAGGGCTGGGCGATATGGCAAAAATGCAATCTCCATAATTATTTTCCATATTGAACAATAACGATATATATTTCAATATAAATTGTTAATGTTCCCAGATTTAAGAGTTCCCAACAATAACTGAAACCACAAAAATTAGAGGGTCCATTTAATGACAACATTTATCTCTAAAATCAACACACTTTTAGATTCCCATTGTTGCACATTTCTGCTGTGTGATTGGCTCTTAGATCAGCATAAAGTAAAAAAAAGTTCAGAGCTTATCATTGTTATTGACTAATGTTATTGTGATTTAATAAAATATTGTTTATCAGCCCAGTCGTGAGTGGACTTTCCATGTGATTTACCTCAGTTGCTAAATCAAAGCATTTTATCTAAAAATGTTACATTCTCAGAAGACTGTGATTTAAAGTCTGCCAGCATTTCTCAGCACTGCTTGAAATGACAAGAAAGTGTATGTATTTCTTATAGCTTTTTATTCATAATAGTACATGACACAACAGCAAAAAAATATTACAATAGAACCGCTTTCTACATAGAGGTTTAAAGCACTTTAAGTCATAGAATATGATATCTGATATTTTTATTTACTTGCGTAAAAGCATGTAAATCTATATTTATTCAGTTTTTAAATTCATTTCAGTAATATTATTGACTAATATGAAAATGTTTATCTGATTTATGTACAATGCAGTGTGTACAGTAATATTTTTAGTCTTTTAGTATAGATATTATATGAGAGACTTGCTTTGTTTACCAAATAAAGTGAATCTAATTGGATTTGCATTTTAAGCATTAAATAAAAGTTAAAAAGATATTTTTTATTTCACATATTAAGGTTTTAGTTATGATATTCCCAATAATTCAGCAGAAATCAGCAGTTTTTTACCAAAATTGTCCACAGAAATAGCAAAAAACATCCGCAGATTCCGTCTGCCCCTAGGTATGAGTACAGTATTTGTTTTTTCTTTCTATTACGAAAGTCAAAGGTTACAGGTTTTCAGCTTTCGTCCAAAAAAATCTTCAAAGACTGAATAAAGAAACTCTTAAATGTTGAGGTTGAGTAAATAGTGAGTACATTTACATTTTACTGTCAACTATTCCTTTAATCTATAGCTCAAATAACATAAACAATGTCTGTAAATCTCAGTTCTGTTGACATTGACATGTCACATCAGAGTCCTTGCTGTCCTTACTTGTGTACAAATTCATGTACACAAATTCATGTACACAACATGCTAAATCATGACAGTAGCTATTTTTATATCCACAGATAATGTGCAAAGCTGGAATACTGCATAAAACATTTGCCAGTGAAGATTTCCATCCAATGAGAAAATTATTATTTTTTTTTAAATTGACAATTTCTGATAAACTGGAGTCAAATATCAAAAAAAGAAAAATGGAATTTGGTGTGGTAGGAGAGGCCGCTGTAGGCTTTTTAGGTAAAGTTTATTTATAAACTAATTTCGAGAGGATCGCAAGCTTATGATTGCTTGCAGTCGATCCCGCATTATTCAATTTATGATTCACCAATCAGACGATTCCTAAGCCACTATCAATAACTACTCCTCCTTTCCTAGATGGGTGGCACAGTGGCCCAGTGGTTAGCACTGTTCCCTCACAGCAAGAACGTCACTGGTTCTAGTCCTTACCAAGCCAGCCGATATTTTTGTGTGGAGTTTACACGTTCTCCCTGTGCTCGCGTGGGTTTCCACTGGGTTTCCCAGTTTCCTCCCACAATCCAAAAACATGCAACTTAAGTTAACTGACTAATCCAAATCTGCACATAAACATGCTCCTAGTAAGTAGTTTTCTCTTAAGAGCAATCACTATCTGTTCATTAGCTACTATGGCAGGGGAGTTCGAGATCTACCTGAGCTCAAACTCCCCTCTCGCCTTGCAAACGGGAGGGATCCTCAGGCTCGAGGATCTTATGGGCTCAGGGCTCTCTCCTGGGAGCATGCTAAACAAGCTTTATAATTATCAGCTAAGTGTGACCTTTTGAATTATATAATACATTTCTTGCACCACAGAAGATGAAACGCAGTGAAAACATGGTGGCATTTGGAGCACAGAAAAACAGTTCTGGAGGTTAATAATACTGAACTAAGGCCCCGTTTACACTAGTGCGTTTTAGTTTTAAAACGGCGTTTTGGAATGAAAACGATCCGCGTCCACACTAGCGTTTCACCCAGCGTTTCTGAACAGCTCTCCGTCTACAACTAAACGACCGAAACGCACATCACGTGACCACACACACACTCACACACACACACACACACACACAAACACAATCTCTGGCATGCGCTGCAGCATATCTACCCAGATGAGAGCTGTGCTCTTCGGACTGCTCATCAAGCATCTCCCTCTGGATCTAATCTCACTATATTTGCTAAACGTGATATTTCATTCATCTTGTTGTCTTTATCTAACAACATATTTCCTGACTTTGGTCTTTTGAATCTATTACTTGTTCTCAGTTAACGTGTTTTAGTTAAGCGCAAAGATAGTTTAATAATTAATGTAACCACGTGCATTCTGTATATTGACTGATCACTTGCCTTTATTTCCTATAATGTATAAACTTATTGTACGTTATACTTTTATAATGACCATTATTGATTATTAAAACTGATATTCAGCAAAACAGAGGGTGTTTCGCATTTTCACTGAAAATGAAGAGGCAGTAATGTTATATGCTCCGTTTTGTTATAAATATCCATACAGAGATGACGCTCATATCTGCAGCACGACGCTTCAACATTTCTGCTGTCTGTTAAGTTGTTCATATCAAAATGAAAATAGGTAGTTCCTCATATCATGTTTTCATTTTATTGTTAAGAAAGTGAAACAACGTAGCCAGGGTGATGTGAATGATGTTATAAAGTACACTGTTCCTTTTAAATATTTACCCGTGTCCTCTGGAGTCTGTTTTCCTTATCAAACTTGCAAAGTCTGAACTGACAAGAAGAGGATGCAGGACTGAACTGTGTGTAACGTTAGGCTACTTTATATTGAGGAAAAGCCCCAATCAGATTTGCGAATGTTTGCAGCCCTGCCTTCGTTTTCAGATGTCTCCGTTTTCCCCCATCCACACCGACATGTAGCAGCAACGTTTTAGAATGAAATTGGCCTCTTCAGCGTTTAAAAAACGCTCCGTCTTCGGTGCTCGTAAACTCCGGCGTAGTGTGGGCGGATGGCGTAACCGTAGCAAAACTTAAGCGTTTTAAAACGAAAACACATTAGTGTAAACAGGGCCTAAGTTGACGACAGACTTTGGCTGAGGGATTTTGGAATAACCAAAACAACATTTTAGATATTTTATAATGTCATCGGTCCACTGCCTGGTCCATGAATGCCGTCCCATCATAGCCATTTTTATTATCAAATGATCTGTTAAAGTGTGCTGTTGAGGATGTTTTCATCCATTCTGTGGTGATTTTGAGGCTTAATTTGCCCACAACTTACTCTGTGTTTCAGCAAATGGAATGATTTTTGGTGACTTATCTTATTTTTACATATTTTATGAAACTGTTTTGAAATTTTTCAAAAATTCAACAATATACTGTGTGCAAATTGACTACCCTTTCATTATGTTTGTGGCTTTTTTTTTACCCCATTGACTTTCATTATAACCACATTTTTTGATTACAAAGTCATGACACCATATAATCTCAAGGGATACTTACTGCAGAGCCACTTGGGCAGAGCTGAGCTCCAGCAAAGGAATGCTTGAGCTCCAGCTCCTCCTTCCTTGCACTTCTTCTACAAGTGATGTCAAGTGATGTGGGGTGCGTGTATGCATTAAAACAGCTTATAGGAGGAGGAGTTGGAGCTCAAGCTCCCCCTCATTGGAGCCCAAGAGGCTCTGCAGTGAGCACTGTCTCTATAATCTTGCTTTCTTGATTGTTGCGGGTTTTCCTTGTTGGGAAGAGGTAAAATTGGTAATGTTTACTGTTGATTATAATGGAAGTCAATTGGGAAAAAACAGCCATGAACATAACCAAATGGTAGTAAATTTAAACAGTACACAAGGGTTAAGTATATTTTATGTGATATTCCAATATGCACATAAAACATATAGTATGTGGGTGTCTAGTGGGAGCTAGAATCTAATAATATAAAAAAACATAGGATAATTAGACAGAAAATGGGTTAAAAACTCAAATCCCTCTTAACTCTTTAACACTTCTGTCATTTTCTTAGCCACATCTTTCATTTTCTCCTCCCACTCGATGCGTAGAGCTTCCTCATCATCCCCGACGATACCGGCGTAGCCCATTAATGCAATAAGGCCGATGCAGAACAGATACGAGAGCCGCGTGCAGAGGTTTTCCATGATGCGTCGATCGCCCTGCGAATGCTTCATGTACACCTCTAATATGGGCTGACAGAAGATCTTGGATTCGCCCATGACTCCACCATAAAGCGTGTGCAGGTTCTGGTCACACTGATTGATCACGAAGCTCATTTCAAACTCCTTCCTCCGCGGTTCATGTCCTGACGACGCCTCCACAGTGTCCATAAATTTGCTAAATTGATTGCGAATGTTTTCTTCTACACGACAGTAAAGTCCGTCCACCGTCTCCTTCCTGATCTGAAGCAACACATTCTGGTTCTGCTGTGAAATTTCGTCTAGAGCTCGACTGACGCTGCCGAATTCTCGCTTGAGTTTCTGAATGTCTTCATCGTTCACGTGGTGCAGAACCACATGAAGGAGAGATCCAGTCACGCCGAAGATGGGATTGACCACCGCTGCTGCTGAGGAGATGGTGGCCACACATTCTAGCACCTTCACCAGACCCCGCTTCAGCTTGTCAGTGTCTTCTGAGATCTCATTTTCAGCCATTATTTCTGGAGGAAGATGGCTTTCCAGCGATGTTTACCTTAAGGAGAAATTGACCATGCAAACAATAATTACACTATGAAATCTGACAATGTTTATTTTGCAAGCTCTCATTGTTATTTAGGTTGACAACCTGACCATTTATCAACTGAAAAAAAAAAGTTTAGGTAATCTTCAATCAAAGTCTGACCATTTTTCTTTTGTGTTTGGAGTGTTGGTCCTCCTCTGTTTACGTCAGTTTGAGGGTCACAATATTCGTAACCACGCTCCTTTTATTGTTAGATTGCTATGAGGGAATGATGCGCAAAAGAAAGCCCCGCCCCTTACTCAATACTCCATTTCACTTGTAAGTACATCAACATACTAAAATCTGTCTCAGCAACTTCCCTTTCACTCTGACTTTAAAATACTTCTATTATTGCAGAATCTTTCCAAAGCTGTGTGTTTGAGTTTCTTTACAAAAGATGTCGCTATATAAATAAGCATTTTCAATTCGGTTCAGTATACCTACTTTTTGTATGGCATTTGAAAATGTTTTGCTTAAATGAAGCTGCTGCAGCTTCCCTCCTGAATTCTGAATCATCCCGCCAGGGCTACAGCCACAGCTTCTCATTCAAAACATTTTATTTTTTTAATAGCAGGTAATAATCGCACCAAAACGTATTAAAAGATAAGTAAATTATAAAAACGTGAACTTTTCTGTAACCGTAGTAGTGCTGTGCGTCATTTGTTTAACTTTTTAGGGTTACGTGCTTACTGACTGACAGGTGCGTGATGCATGAGGGTAGCAAACAAGGCGTATAGCCGTTTCACTTTAATTCAGGACGCATTAACACCGCTCTGTAGGTCTATTGGAGACGTTCATATATATTCCTAACAATCCTAATAAATGTTGGAGACATACTTGTTACATAAACGCACTAAATCGCTCTTCAGCAGCGTTTATTTGAGAGCGCACAAGAAGATCTGCGCTTGAGCCGCTTATATTTGAAGGGGCGTGCAAGAGGTTTTGTGCACAAGCAGAGGAAATCGGCACGCAAGCAAAGAGATTCGCATGCTCATAGGCTAGTAATTAATTGCGATCTTGACTTCTAATACTGCGCTCAGAACATTGAAATGACGCCACAAGTAGTTGGTAGATCTGTGTAAAAAAAAAAAAGATATATTGTTCTTCTGTGAAGGAGTATTAAATGAATTGTTGGAATTGGCTCAGTGAGTTTTTTTTTAAACAATGATTTTAATTAATTGTTTTATGAATTTGAAAACGTGTGTTATTCCCCAGCAGGCACTAAACGTCATAAGACTTTAATATTAGGTTAGATTTAGGGTGCTTTCACACTAGCACTTTTGGTCCACACCCAGGTTCGAAGCAGACCGTGCAGAATGACTGCAATGTGCGGACATCTTTCCATTTTAATGCTTTGCTTTTATGACCGTCACCTAGCAACAGCCGTAAACAAAAACAGCAGCTCGATAACGTAAAGAAAAAAGATAGTGTGAACACAAACCAACTGCGAAAGTGGCAAGAGGGGACGAACTTAAGTATGGTCCAGGCAATTGAACCAAGTGTGAAAGCACCCTAAGATCATGATGTTGGGTGACGTTGATATTTGGTTGTTTTAAGGTTGCATTGTAAAGTCACCAAAATCCAACATTGAGCCAACATCATAAACCAACTTTATATTGATGTCAAATACTGACATTTATTTCTCAGGTATGGCAACCAAAATCCAACATCCAATAGATGTCATAGTGATAACATCCACACAATGCCAAGCTGTAACATCCTTAGATGTTGATATTTGTCTTTTTTAGGTTGTGCTGGAAAGTGACTAAAATGCAACGTCTGTCTGATGTTGGACACTGATGTCGATCTGTTGATGGGTTCTGACATCAACCCCAATTTCATTTCCTCCCAAAATGCAACATTCCATGACCTTGGGGTACAACGTCAATCTGACATCATATTGACCTCCGGTGCCTTCCTGGGTCATAATGATTGAGCAAATATTTTCAATAAACAATTCAATGACAGACTCAAAGACAGCATCTTATTTCATTCTTGACTAAGTGAGAGTTTTTGAACAAAGTGTTTGTATCTGGATGGATGATTCAATGCTTTGTAAGAACAGTCAATTGTTTAATTATTATTGAATGGACTTCTTATAAATTAATTTTTCTATGAATAAATGTGCTCACTGTGTGATGTTATTATATTAAAATTCTACAATTATTTTTGTGTTCCACAGGGGAAAAATGTGCAGATTTAAAATGTGAGTAAAACTTTTTTAAACATAATAAAATACATTCAATAACGTAAAAAAAAATCAACATTATTTTCTTTTAATTATTTTCACATCTTAAATGTGAGCAATCTTTCATTTTACAGGCATTGAACTGTCTAAACGCTATTTAGTCGTGAATAATTCTGGACCTAATACTTTTGTTTGATTATCTCTAGTATCTTGGGTACATTTTTCTGATGCAAATATTTTATTTTACAGAAAACTATATTGTTGTTTGCATTTACAGCTCTGGGATCAAGACAGAAGATTTACAGCGCAAGATCAAGCAAAACACAACAGAATAAGATGTGTTTGTTATGATGTGAGTATTTTGTATGGTTTCAGCTGTTGTCTGCCCTGTCATAGCTCCCCCTAGCTGTAGCTTTGTATTTCCTTGTTTGTGCAAAGCATTATTTCACTTTCCTGCCGTTTCCAACCCTTAACCAACAGTACCAAAATAATCTCCAAACTCTGTCATGCAAACCTTAATAACACAATCAGGTTGCTGGTGTGGAATATTGCTGTTCTTACCTCTTTAGATTGCTCCCTCCCTCGACTGCACCTCTTCCCAGCAGTCACTGCAGGATGGACAGTTTCACATGAGCTCAGTGTGGAGGGGTGAACAGATGGACTGTACCATTATCCCAAAGTACCCTGCTGTGCTGAATGAAATATTATCTATCTATCTATCTATCTATCTATCTATCTATCTATCTATCTATCTATCTATCATCTATCTATCTATCTATCTATCTATCTATCTATCTATCTATCTATCTATCTATCTATCTATCTATCTATCTATCTATCTATCTATCTATCTATCTATCTATCTATCTATCTATCCAGTGTTTATCTATCTATTTATTTGTCCGTCCGTCCGTCCGTCCGTCCGTCCGTCTGTCTGTCTGTCTGTCTCTGTCTGTTATCTATCTGTCTATCTATCTATCTATCTATCTATCTATCTATCTATCTATCTATCTATCTATCTATCTATCTATCTATCTATCTATCTATCTATCTATCTATCTATCTATCTGTCTGTCTGTCTGTCTATCTATCCAGTGTTTATCTATCTATCCAGTGTTTATCTATCTATTTATTTGTCCGTCCGTCCGTCCGTCCGTCTATCTGTCTGTCTATCTATCTATCTATCTATCTATCTATCTATCTATCTATCTATCTATCTATCTATCTATCTATCTATCTATCTATCTATCTATCTATCTATCTATCTATCTATCTGTCTGTCTGTCTGTCTGTCTGTCTGTCTGTCTGTCTGTCTGACTGTCTGTCTGTCTGTCTATCTATCTATCTATCTATCTATCCAGTGTTTATCTATCTATCCAGTGTTTATCTATCTATCCAGTGTTTATCTATTTATTTGTCCGTCCGTCCGTCTATATGTCTGTCTGTTTGTCTGTCTGTCTGTCTGTCTGTCTGTCTGTCTGTCTGTCTGTCTATCTATCTATCTATCTATCTATCTGTCTGTCTGTCTGTCTGTCCATATATCCAGTGTTTATCTATCTATTTGTCCGTCCGTCCATCTATCTATCTGTCATGTTTGTCTGTCTGTCATTATGTTCATCTATCCATCCATTCATCTATACATCTGCCTGTTTGTCTGTCTATCTGTCTTGTTGCTCTAGGACTCCATGTGTGTCCTGTGAGCTGTCACAATGAAAGCATGACGACCTGCTTTAGACATCACGGAGCACCACTGAGGGTATTGTTTCCTGTAAAGTTTGAGTACTTCAACATACTCAGATCCTATAAAGTACATATAGTTCCTGTTTTCCTCCTTGTGCTCTAAAACTCAGACATAATGAGGAAGTGGTTGCTCTCACTATGAGCACAGACTGCTTATGTGACAGACATTTTGCTTTTTCTCTTAACCGTGTATAAGAAGTCTCTTGATTTTCTGCTCTTTATTGTTAAAGAATGATTCTCTTCGCACTTGTAATCCCTGAGTTTAAGTCATCCTAAAATTGATGGCATCACAAGAACACCGGCGGCCCAAAGTGGATGGAGATCCTACGACTGGATGAGACAAAAGAAAAAGACAAGGATTGAAGGGGTAAGAGGTTTAGTTTAATACATAATTTGGAAAAATGAGTAATAGGAATATGAGTAATATGCTGTGTATCTATAATAATAAGAGGTTTTTAGCTATCATATGATACAGGTTTCTATGTCCAGTATAATTTTAATGTATTTTTCACTTTTCGTAAAAGACACTGACCAAATTTTCCTTAAGTTTAATGATATATGCTATATATTTAACTCATTAAAATATATATTTGGAATTAAAAAGGATAGTTTACAATAAATTTAAAAATTTTACATTTATATTGGACACAAAAAAAGATATTTTGAAGATGGAAGCTGGTAACTATTATTAATAATATTTATATTTTGTAATATATTCATAATATTTGTCTTCTACTATGGAAGGTAATGGTTACAGTAGGTTTATAAAATTCTTCAAAATATCTTCTTTTGTGCTCAACAAAATAAAGAAACTCATAAAAGTTTAGAACCATGTGAGGGTGAGTAAATATTAAGTACATTTTCATTTTTGGTGAACTACCCCTTTAAAAAACACAAATTCTAATTGTCATTTGACATCTTTATAAACACTAGCTTCGTCAACAAGGTTTTGATCAATCAAAGTGTATTATAATTTAGTTTGGTCACTTATTTTTTGATATATTTCATTCATTTGTTTCATGTTTGCAAAAATCCCATTTTTTCCACTAAAATATTTTTTTTTTCTGAAATGGTTTGACATTATTTGAAACATCACAGTACAGTAGCCACTTTATTTTCATTTACTATGATTTCTACATTGGTAAAGTTACTTTTGCAAGCATACTGTATATAAAAAAGCTTACACTGGTAAATGTTAAGAGTATTGTTTCATAAATGTTTGCATAATGTTACCCGTCACTAATACTATAGCTTCATTGAATTCAATAAACTGTCTGAGATACTGACACTATGCTGTTATTAATGTACAATATACTTGTTGCCACAAGATGTCACTTTTGCTCATAATTACTTTTATTGCATGTGCTAGTAGAAAATCATTACAGTGATCAGCATGTTTTGGACTATGTGGACTTATCCATTTTACATGTTAAGGGTTTTTATAGTTTGTCCTGTTCAACAACACAGATGAGCTTATTTAATATCTGTTGATTTGTTTAATAATCAACATGGCACGTCAGTTCTTGTTTGCATGGGGTAGATTTTGAGAGAATGTTCACCAGGACTTAAAGCAGCAGCTTTAAATGGGTAGTTCACCCCAAAATGAAAAGTTACTGTTAATTTACTGAAGCAATTAAAGATGTAGATGGCTTTTTTCTTTGGTAGAATGTTAAAGAAGATTTATTTTGCTGAATCTGTGGTTCGGATTATGAAAGTCAATGGCCATTTCTGAGATTAAAAATAAACACATACACAACAAGTTCAAATCAATCCCCATGATTCCTGATGATAAACTCTCATCATATGAAGCAAAGTGATTGGTCTCTGAAATTAAGCATTATTTAAAATAGTATTAGCTTTAATCCACACCTGCAGGAACCATGGCTAATGATTTGGACATATTTGTAAAGCATGTCTTTATTTTTAATCTAAACTGTATCCATTATACAAATCATCAAGGACCACCGATTCAACTAAAAATCCTCTTTATTGTTAATATTCGTGAAGAAAAAAAAATCATCTACATCAACACTGCAACAAATGTTTTCAAGAGGTTTTTTTTTTTCTTGTTTCAAGTCCACATACTTAACAATTCTTAAATCAGGAAGCATTTTCTAGACAAGTAAAAACTATTTGAATATGTATATTTGGGTGTATTGTATATAATGATATGTTTTCAGAAATAAAATACTAAAATTCAGTGAGTTTTTCTTTAAATTAAGAAAAATAATACACCAACGTGGTGTATTAGATTTCAATTAAAGATTACAACGGCAAAGAATGTTGTTTTTTTTTTTCTTTCTCTTATGCACAGATGAATTGTTCACCACAAAGCTAGCAATGTTAGCTAATTGTCCATTGTCCTATATGTTGACTGATGTATCCAGTCCTGGTCAGTCTAATCTCAGTACTAAGCCAAGGCTCCACACATTAAATCCATCACTGAGCCTGCAGAGATCAATAGACGTCTAGATCACAGGAAGCAGGCGAATGTTCAGTGGCTTGTTGGAGGCTGAATATGGATCACAGTCCATTTCACCCAAGCGTGTAGTTTTGATGCTTTTATAATGATAGCTGAAACCTCAATGGCCAAAGCTACGACACCACAATACTCTGATTAACAGAACAACTGCGCTGTGCTGTCGGACTTTATGCACTGAAAAAAAAAAGATTCATTCACAGCCGCAACCCAGTATTGGGAAACACAAATACAGTCTCTCATTCACACTTATACAATAGGGATAATTTTGTTTACAGTGCATAATTTATGTTTTTTGACTGTGGGGGAAACCGGAGCACCTGGAGGAAACCCACGACAACATGGGGGGAAAATGCGAACTCCACACAGAAATGCCAACTGGCTAGGCGGGACTCGATCCTGTGATTATTCCTGCTATGAGGCGACAGTGCTAACCACTGAGCCACCGTGCTGCCCTACAGTTAAAGTTTATCTATCTATCTATCTATCTATCTATCTATCTATCTATCTATCTATCTATCTATCTGTCTGTCTGTCTGTCTGTCTGTCTGTCTGTCTGTCTCTCTGTCTCTCTATCTCTCTATCTATCTATCTATCTATCCATCCATCCATCCATCCATCCATCCATCCATCCATCCATCCATCCATCCATCCATCCATCCATCCATCCATCCATCCATCCCTCCCTCCCTCCCTCTCTCTCTCTCTCTCTCTCTCTCTCTCTATCTATATCTATCTATCTATCTATCTATCTATCTGTCTGTCTGTCTGTCTGTCTGTCTGTCTGTCTCTGTCTATCTCTCTCTCTCTCTCTCTCTCTCTCTGTCTATCTATCTATCTATCTATCCATCCATCCATCCATCCATCCATCCATCCATCCATCCATCCATCCATCCATCCATCCATCCCTCCCTCCCTCCCTCTCTCTCTCTCTCTCTCTATCTATATCTATCTATCTGTCTGTCTGTCTGTCTGTCTCTGTCTATCTCTCTCTCTCTATCTATCTATCTATCTATCTATCTATCTATCTATCTATCTATCTATCTATCTATCTATCTATCCATCCATCCATCCATCCATCCATCCATCCATCCATCCATCCATCCATCCATCCATCCATCCATCCATCCATCCATCCATCCATCCATCCATCCATCCATCCATCCATCCATCCATCCATCGATATTTTATCTTAATCTTTTTTTAATAGGAGTTATCATTGGTTGGTTTTACCAGGGCTTTATAGTATACTGTAAGAATAAAGTACCAGGAATCTGAAACATTGCTTTTTGAAACTCCTCAGAAAGGCTAATTTTTGTCATTTTTTTATGGCATACAAATAACCTGTTAAACAAGTTTAAATAGTAGGCTTTTGTTGAAGGGTCTGAGTGTTGCTTTTAAGACTTATTTGTTTGCTGTCTTGCAGTGCAGCCTTACATATCATGCTAAAGTTACTGCATTGTTTTTTGTAATGTATTTGTTCTGTATAGTCCACGCAGGCTTGCAATCTGCTGCTGTCTTTACAATGTTACTGCTGAAACGGGCTGTTATTTTAATTGGTGGCTGCACTCATGCATATATGCACAAATACATGCTGCTGACCTTCAGAAAGGTCAGAAAAGAGCGAAACAGACAGAACTGCTTTGCTTTGTGAAGCTCCAACACACTGCGTGAAATGAGAGCGAGTGCAGATGGAGCCAAAGCAAGATCAATATGCCGATTAGAAGCGTAATACGCTAATGGTTTGGCCAACCATATTGGTTTACCTCCTGCTCGCAAAGACTGAAACTGACACTTACTGTTTAGAGACATGGCTTAAAATGAATCTTTCATAAGTTGATGGTAAATTTTATTTCATTACATTTTATATATTTTAATTTAATTTAATCTTTTTAACTTATATTAATTTAATGAATTACTTTATTTTATTAAATTGCATTTAATTGTATTTTATTTTGTCCCATTGGAGATATATATATTTTTTTATTACAGCTTAATTTAGCAGTTTCAGCCGTAAACTGTAAATATAAACTTGTTAGGTTTACTAAATTGAACTGTTAATTGAAGTAAGGCAATGATTTTGCAAAATAATTAAAAAAATATCTTGATTGTATCTAGTATTTACTTCTTGGTAATGTATATTAAAAATATTCAATCAATTATAGTCATATTTAAGTTAATGTGCAAATTTTGTTGACTTAACTCGATCTGTAATCTAAATTAATCGAGTTTTTACTGTTTTATTTTGACAGAAACCTCTGTAAATCTCAGACTAAATCACGTCTCCCTATTTTAATCATGTGCAAAAAGTACACAATAGCACTTAATTTCTTTACATTTATTTTCCAATCTGACTCAAAATATGCTGGCAACTAGAAATCTGCATGGTTGCGTGAACTCATTCAGTTTAAGTTCAGCCTAATAATTTATTAGATTTTTAATGTAACTTGTTTCTATTAAGTACAATAAACTATCATTAAAAATGTAAGCCAGCTAAACATTTCATTTTAATTAATTGCACTGCTTGATTTTACAATGTATTATGTTCATCTTGTGGGCATTTCATTTATTTATTTTTTACTTTTCAGTGGGTTTCATTAAATTTTTTATTACTTTTAGTCACACAAATATTGTATGCCAAATATTAGTAATTATATACAAAATGGTTATTTTTGAGGCTAAAAGGGCATCCAATGTGTAAAACATGCTAGAATAGATAGCAGTTAATTCCGCTGTGGCGACCCCTGCAGTGGCGGAGCCAGAGGGGTGTCCAGGGTGGACACTCCTGACATCTGATTGGCCACCCTGGGTGCCACCCCAAAACGTTATTTGCTGCTGGCAGTTCCTGATGCTGATCGACATCTCATTTGTCTAAAGCATGGCTGCTC